CCTTGGGCCAGTCATACTCTCAGCTTCAGAGGATGGCAATGGCAACCCCCCCTCCAAAGAAACCTACCAAGAAAACCCCATGATAGGGTTGCCATAAGTCAGAAACAACTTGAAGGCACCACCACTACCAACAACAACAGGGGTTCTCTTTGCCCATTCAAATACAGATGTAAGAAGTTGTTACATTCTGGAGAGCACATGCAATGTAAAACATCCAAAGGTCACATGCGTTTCATACTAGTTCATTTGGTCCACACTTCTAAAGCAGCCAAACAACCTAATTCATACTACTCAGACTAATATATAGATCAGAACAGAGTAATCATTTTGACTGCATACTTCTCCAAATTCTACAGTAGACAGCACAATTCAAAAATGCAGATATCAGGGGAAACTGTGTTTGAAAATAAATGGGGGAAAAACAGCCTGATGTGGAAAAAAACTAGTGATGACATGAACCAGAAACTGATTGATCTGCCCATGACTAACCCTACAACTCATCCTAGGATCATTTCTGATGTCTAGGAATCCCACCGCAAGATGTTCCCTTCAGTAAATCAAAACAATGAAGAAAGAATTTTCTCAAAGGAAGAGCTTTAAAACTCCAGATCATATATTTGCTCTGCACTGTCTGCAACAATTCTTAAAAAATGACCAAAAATCATGTGGCAAGTACTGTATTTCACATGTAACAAGAGTGGAGATGACTTGCCATATGGGCAGACTACTTTAGTTAACTCCCATGGATAGTCTTGGTATGGCTTCTAGAACAAGAACTCTAATAGTTGTTCAAGCATGGAAAGAATCAAATCTGCAAAAGTAAAGGCTACATGTGGAGTGAACCTATAGACTACAATTTGCAAATTTTAGCTTCGTGTCACTAGCCCATGTTGTCATTTCTGATCCTTTCAAAGTGTTTCCTTTGGGCTTATTGCATTTCAACAATAATGAGAACTAGAAACCTGCACAGTTTTTGTTTTCAAATTAAACTCCAAGATCTTTTGATTCTAACATGAGGCCACTAAGACACATCAACCTACTGTAGAGCGCTCCTGCATGTGGTCTTTGGATCTTTACATTTGTCACTCGTATTTCAAATAACCTTGTCAGAGGTTCTGCAGGGTCACATCCTGGTCACTCGGGGCAATTTGCCAACCTGTAACACCCGCAGGTGGCAAGCCATATGTTAGCCCAAACCCATAGGCTCACCATGGGATTAGAATTAATCAAACAAATGAAAGTCACACTCAAGGACTCTACATTTAAACACATCTGTATTGCAGTATCCACAAGATCAGGAACGAGGTCCTAGGAGCATTGCTTCAGATTTTGACATGCCCCTGGGCAACTTGCTGTTCAGCAAGGCTCCCTCCACAAAATGAGTCTACCTCTTTGTCACTCCTTGACTCATCTTCCACTTTTGAGACCAATTTGCTTTTTTAAAATTTTTATCTTTATTAAATCTTTTCCATTAAAATTAAAACAAAACATTTATCAACATTACAGAAACATAACATACAATATATAAAACATGTCAAAATACAAACAAACATTTACATTTACACACTGTATTTACTCACATACTCATTACATACATACATACATACACATATACATACATAAACACTTCCTGGAAACCAATACTTCCTTTCTTCATTTACCTATATGTTGCTAATTCAACACATAACAATATAAGCAGGGAGCTGGACTAGATGATGGCCCTTGAGATCTCTTTCAACTCTATGATTCTATGATCTCTTATTTTGTAAAGCTCAAAAGTTAGGCCAATAACTGTCTGTATCAAACTGCTACTGAAAATATATAGGCTGTATTCTTGGAAATCAAACGGAGGAACAATTTGGGGTCTTAAACCGTCAAGAAATGGGACATTCTTCTCCCAACTAAATTCAGCTGTCAATTCCATCAAAACAAATACAGCTGTTATTTATTAACTGAGCACAGAATTCAATTCTAGTTTGAGGCTCTATACCAAAAAGTTATAAGCCAATCTAGATTCAACTTTAGTCCCATTGCACAAAAAAGTAATAAAGCATAACATGCTGGGATTTTTAAAAAATCAATTGATATTGACTCTCCTAAGTTCTCATCCAGCACTTTAACTACTATATTACACTAGTTGTCATGTAATACTATACATGCATTTAAATGGACTAATTCCAGTGGCAGAACATGGGATATTGGTTGGAATTTTGCACTGAATGTTTGATTTTGCAAACATTTAGAAATTGTGGATTGCACATTGACAAACTTTCAGTCTTTTGTACAATGACTGGAAACCCATGTTACAAATTGGAATTCAGTCATAATCAGCCAGTACATGTCTCTCTCCCCCCCCCCCCCCCCCCCCCCCCCCGTTTTCTTTGCTAAATTCTACAGAAATCCAAACTTGGAATGATGGGTGTAGTATTTTGCAGACAGAAAAAGCCACATGGGATTCTGGAAACATTGCTCCAGCCACTGGATACACAAAGACCTGTGGAGTAAATGGTTTGGATAAAGAAAATTACCCCCTCCCCTTAAAAAATGTAAACAATTGCTTCCCAAACCATGAGAGAAAATGTTTAGCAGCTAGAAAAGGGGGGTCAATTCACAGGAAGATCCTTGCACACAAGGGACATTTTGGAATTTTCAGGGGGAGATAAAAATTCTCAATAGAAAGCAAGAATTCTGGACCATGTTTGTGGAATGGTTCTGGTCATTGGTGCCTCCAGCTATTCCAGTGAGTTGTTGTTGTGTGCCTTCCAGTCGCTTCTCACTTATGGGAACCCTAAGGTAAAGCTATCACAGACTTTTCTTTGGAAGATTTGTTCAAAAAAGGCCTTTGCCTTCCTCTGAGGCTGAGAGAGTGGGACCTGCCCAAGGTGACTGAGTGGGTTTCCATGAGCAGGGATTCAAATCTTGGTCTCCAGAGTTGTGGTCTAATGCTCAAACCATACACCACACAGTGAATAAAGAACAGCCATTTCACATATGGAAGGAACAACTTCTCTGCAGTTCTCCACGTTCCCCAGGCAAATTCCCCCCTCCTCTTCACTACTTTCTACAATACAAACAAGGCCTGTTTTACAACTTATTGGCCTAGTATTGGGCATGGAATGTGCAATGTCTATTCTTTCATTTGGGCTTAGCTTCAATGAACAAGGTACTGGCTCTAGGGATACGAGGGGGTATATCATAAAGTTTTAATTATCATCTTTAAAAAAATTTGACAGAAAGTTTGTTTTGATTTGTAGTTGTTAACATCTCTTTACATAGTCACCATCTAGATTTATACATTTTCCCTAGCATTTCTTGACCCTCCGAATACCGTTATTGTAGAAGTCTGCAAATT